CAAAAATCTAATGAACATCTCACTTTTTGCTTAGTCGTAAATAAGTCTCATCACTGCATGTCAAATTAGTTTGTTATCAGTATGTGTTATCTGTATGTGTAAACAAGTACACCTTTCTCTTTAAGGAAATTAAATTCGGCATTATTTAAATAAATAGTATTATTGATGCTTCTCTAGTCCAAGAAGTGGTAATACTCCGACCCCTCTAACCAAGATACGCTTTTCTCATAAATGCTGTTTCTTTAGGTCTTTTTTATATTTTATGTTATCCATTTGAATGAAAATGAAAGTATGTAACACATATAATGACACACTGTTCGTAATGAAAGCCAATGGAGTTTGTAAGGGAGGTGCTGATATTAACAAAACATTATCTTAATTATTTTAATAATCCGATAACTCCATCTACAACTGGTCATTATGTAGTCGAGTTGAGGACCTAATTGAGAAGTGAATATTTCTTTGCTCAATCCCTTTGTCTTTTATTTTTATTTTCACGGATGAAAATAAATCCACAAGAGCATTAATTTAAACTTCTGACGACATTTTTACAAGTCGGTCATTCGTAAATAAGTTACATGAATATACATTACATTGAAATGGAACGATAATCAGAGGCCGCACAACTAGACAGCTTAACAAACGCATTAATGAGCATCTTCCTTCATGTTTCGGAAAAGGACAAATAAAATCCATACAAAGTTCTACTTTGGCTCATTTGATTGATAGCGGTCACCAAGTGGACAGATATAATGCCTTCAAAGTTATCTATCACATTCCATCGAGTCTTTCTAACGGAAACAGAACCCGTCTTTTACACTTAGCCAAAGCTATCGGAATTCGAGAGAACAATCCTCGTCTTTGCATACGAAAGAAGTTTGTTCTATTAATATCAGTAAAAGTTTGAGCATTGTGGATTAGATAAAATAAAGTATAATTATATTTCAATAGTTTACACACAATGATAAGTTTTGTTATTGGTAATATTTCGAGGAAAAATTACTGTCCGTGTTCACACCACTGTTGGAACTGTTTGTTCTACCTTTGTCTCTCTCTCGGCCTAGGTGAATTCTATTCAAAACCCTCACACCCTTTCTTGTCTTCCATCTCCTTCGTACTTTTATGATATTTATTTAAACTCTGATTATCGCACCATTTCACTATTGAAGATTTGACCTAATTTATTTATTTATTGAATAGTCTACATATATACATAATATGAATTAAAAGTCAATCTGAACGAGAGTGAGGATATAGGCTGTCTCCAGGTGTTATCGCGCAATGCCATCGGTTACCGCGCCCACGGCAACAGACGTTATAATCGCCTATTTTTTGGAAATAGATTATATTTCACTAGTTTTAGACTTCTGTAGCCAGATGGCAGTAATTTGCTGTATTTTGTTCTTAGTAGAGCGTAAAATTGTATATTATAGCTCGGACGAATTATCAATGAAGAAGTCATCCTTTTCAAGAAAGTTCGCATAGAAAGACTATTATTTGCATTATAGTGCGTTGAGGGTTTGTTTTTTTGCGAGTTGTTTCAGATCTTAAGGTTGTAAATATACTGCAGGCAATGGCTGTTGTCATTCCAGTGAATCTATGAGAATCTGGCCTATGAAAGAGAAATAGCATGCAGACATAGGTTAGATGTGTGCTTTGAGCATGTTAAACTTTTCTGTTATCATCCGGGATGACTGAAATACTCATAACACATCGACGACATTATGCGATGAATGAGACAGGCTGCTGAATTTCCTGGTGATTATATCTATTTTGATGAAGTTCCTAGTTAAAAGTGCTTGGGCGAAGATGTGATAATAGTTTAATTGACATTTGCACATGAAATTTCACAAGGCCTTAATTGCTCAGTGCATGAAATGGCATCAGAGTATATTGAAATCAGTGTTCATTGTGTCTGTTAGAATAAAATAAATAGTCCTTCTCAAATGTCAGAGTACTTAAAATTAGTACCAGATTTCTGTCGATTAGTAGCTAGCAGCTGTGCCATACAACTACTACACCTGTTACATAGGTTATATAAATCTTAAAAATTCTTTTGCTTCACATCACTAAGATATTCTGAGATCCTTAATGACTTAATTGTGGCTATGAAAGATGAAGAAGATGCTCTTATGGCTCATATATTTAAAGCAGTTATTATTAAACAAGTTATCTGTAAGCAACTTGTGATGTTGTGAATACTGCAAACTGTTGATAAGAAACTGCATCAAAGGAAAAAATGCTGAACAGCTAGAAAATACTACTACAGTTTCGTTGGTTGTTACCTATTGCATTTGTAACTCATTCTTTCAAAGCTGCGACTGACGCCAAACCATCCATGGTACCCCACAGGCCCTATAGAAATTTGTGAGACATCTTACATGTCAGGTTGTCTTCCAAATTATAAGGTTGCAGATCTTTCAATTTACCTCTCACTGAAATATCACTTATCTACTTCACTATGGTCTTTTCATTTGTGCACTATTACACTACATTTTATGTTAACTGGATATGCCTTTATTAAAGCTGAGACTTACTCTTTGTGCCTATTAGTTGCTTGCTTACAGTCTATTTGCTTTTATTAGAAACACAACAACACCAGTGTTTGAACAAAGCTGTATTTTCATGGAAAACATCATATTTTCTATCCTTACACCAATATGGTTGGCATTAAACATTGCAAATGTATACTCACATTCCAAGGACATAGCAGTTGGCCAAATGTACGGTGTTCATTGTAAAGAGTTTACAATTTAACTCTTATAATTTATGATACTTCACGATTACAGTTTATAACATAACTTATTGCGCCTGTAGAAATGACATGCATTCTTTGTAAACATTGGTTTATACGAAATATGAAATTATTATTATATGCTTGCTGCTATCCTTTAGAAGATGAATAATGTATGTGGCAGTGAAAACCCCAGAAGAATGCTGTCATGAACAAAGAATGAGAAAGGAGAATGAACCATTTTCAGTAAAGGTAGGCAGATATAAAGCGTTTAACTTTAATATTACTTCTTTCTTAATTCAGCTATTTAAAAAACACTTTGTTTACTTATTTGTAGATATCCGGTGACGTCAGTCACCCCGGTCACAGAGATTCGACATTGCCCAAATTATTACGACAAACGACTGCGTAAAGACATTTGCTTGTTATTATTTTTCATTAAATACATTTAATATCCTGCTTACCAGACCTTTCTTATTATATCTGAGTGTAGATATATTTGTCATGCTGACTAGATGCAGACATGACTTATTAATAAGAACTGACGAAGTAATTGGTTGCATATTTTAGTGTAAGCTAAATCTAAATACGATTGCTAAAGCTCAACGAATTCAATAATTCGTCTGGTGTAGACTTTTTTTTTTTTTTTTTTTTTTTTTTTTTTTTTTTTTTTTTTTTTATCACCCTTTAAGTGAAACATTAGTAATACAATACTTTGGAATACACGTAACCGTATAAGAACTGGAAGTCGAATGCAGTGCCTAAGTTATGCCTACTATTGTCCCTAAAGACTTGTATATGACTATGAGACGTATGCACGTTAGCTAACTGAAATACTTATAATTCAACACGTATGCTGACCGACATCGTTCCTACATAATTACACTTACGTATTGTTAGTAGTTAAAGTCCTAGAGAGCACCGGTCTAACATGCCGTGCTCACAAAGTGAACACATGAATTGAAATACAACAAAATTTACATGAAAATTTTATTTTCATTATGATACAAATTTATTTTATTTACATATTAAGAACACGATTGATTCCTGCGATTACTCCGTCTGCATAAGTATTGGCAAACACTTCTCCAAATTTGTCACTAATTCTCGTAATGCCCGCACTGATAATACTCTTTTTGGTTTTCAATATGTCACGTTGATTTCGAGGGACAGTTGCTGACGTACTTTGAGATGCGAACAAGTTACGTGACCACGTCCATTGTTTACAATTATGCATCACATGGTTAACTACAAAAGGTGGAACAAAAAACGTTAAGATAACTATGAACTGATTATTACAGGTGCAATGATGGCAGTGCTTGTGTCCTGTTTCCAGTTAAGGCATCGTACACACGAATACGGTAATGAAAATTACAACTTTCCGTATAGAAGAACAATAATTAATCAAGTTTCTGTCGACATACATTAAAAACGGAGTCATAAAAACGCAAATATACCTGTGAAATATGGCTTTCTGAAATGGACCAAAAGCAAGTGTTTGCAGGGGTACCGACAGGTCTGAAATGTAACGCACGTGCAGGTGCAAGCACTCAGATCCACCTCCACTCGATTCCCGTTGTCTTGGAAGAATACATAATCGAAGGATTCAACCTCAACAACAGCCCATCGTCTCCTTTCGTATTCACGGATAACCTTCCTCGCAGCGTATGGCGTCAGCAATCGTATAATTGGGAGTAGACGTTGTGAACAGGGATAGGTGAAGCATCGCGACTGAGCAATAGTCGCCTCCTGCTGTATCCTTGCAAAACTTTGTTGATACCATTTAAACACCTTCAGCATACTTTTATGCAAACTATCTGATCTTTGTAAGTAACGTTTCATTTGCTTGTGGGAACTCTCGACGCGATTATTTGTATCATTCCCAAAAGTCAGCACGTTGTCTCTGAAACATGCTGCCCACAATTCTCGTCGATGCATCCAACGACGTTGTAGATATTGACTGACAGTAGCATCCAATCTGCTAATAACTCTGAAGTAGAAATTAAATCTGGAAAATGAGAACATTAGAGGCATTACTCTGATCTCCTTTTACACTGCACTAGACGGCATAAATAATTCTTCACAATGGGATTTCTTGTCTACGAATAAAATGTAAAGTATGCTTTGAAAAACTTACTTTACGACAGAATGCTCGGCAAACATGGAAAGAACACAAAACAATGTGCGCTTGTCTGTGCGTTAACTTGACGGCTGCTATTTCAGCTTGCGCACAATCCATAATGAAAGATTCTGTTTTGAAGGTGTCTTCCATTATTTGACGAAAACAGTCTAATATCCAAACTACATCTCGTTTGAATTCTTTTCTAGTCCACGCAAATAAAACTGGTCGTCCACGACCAAAATTATCCGTCACAAGTAACTGGAACAAAGAATACCTGCACGTTGATTAATGAATTGGTAAACTTACTTCCCTTTATTTGTATTATACGTAGAATCAATACCAACAACTTCAGGGAACTGTTTATACAATTCCATTTGCTCATAAGTTGCAAAACAAATTCTTGTTAGTGAATTCCTGATCGGTTCATCGGAATAATACTCCATTAACTTCCCACGGGATTTTAGGAATTCAAAAATGTCACGACGACTCGAAATACCTTAAGTATGTAACAAGTACGTCAACGTTACCTTTATTCACTGCGGCTTTCATATTTTTAACGTCGATGCGAGTTATATCCTTGTGGTACTTCTCCTTAACATGCATTATTATTTCATCGGATGAGTGGGATTGCTGAAGAAGTGGTTCAATATTTTCTTTCTCTTCAACTGTTAGTCGTCTATACCATGGGTCATTCTGCATGTACACCCTGCTGCATGGATGGTTATGCACCATATTGTGGGAAGCAATTATGTATTCACTATAACGCAAAACCACGCGAAATGAAGACGAGCAATTGCAACATTTAGACCTGAAATATTCATCAAATCATAGTATACTTCTTCTTACGACTTGTTTTTCAATTTCAATCCAGGTCTTTTACGATTCACTCCAAAAGTGCATTTAAAACCAACATAAGCGTACTTAAATCTGTCATCCGGTATCGTTTTGCTGCAATTATGAACATAGTGAGTGCAGGATACACTGTTAGCATTAAATGACTTCCTCACTTTTTGAAATTCTGCTAATGACTTCTCAAATTCATCCCAGCTCAAGAAACGCCTTCCAAGTATGTATTCAGCGAAAATTCCATTTAAATATGTGCTCCTGTCACTCGAATTGACTACCTGCAACGGACTAAAATAAAATTATCAATTAGGATCCATCTATGTCACAACTATTCCAAGATAAATCGTAAAAAAACAACATTGAAATACAGGGATGATCGATAACCATCAAGAAAATACCGCACGTATAACCTAAATTACAGAAAAACACAAGAACCCACCGGTTCGTTGACATCGCAAGCAACCGACAGACCAAACAACGAATTGTACGACAAATAAAGCCTAGTACATGCACAAACAAAGAAAAACAAAGCGTTACAATAGTCTAATTCACGTTTATAGTTATCACATATGCTGGCAAACGACGCAAACACAACCACGCAAAGACAGCACCCGACAGCACGCACCCAAGGACAATTCAAACTCCAATTGAACGCCACCATTCTAGCCAATGAAAGACGAAAAAAACTGAGTCTCGCAAAGTATAACACACAACCACGTATATCCTCACCCTCTGAACGAAGAATATTCTTTTCAATAATTTCTCTTCAGGTTCTTACAATTATAAAATATAATATTTGTGGTCGTTACTATAAAGATAGTCAGGTATGCGGCGGATACATCTTTAACATAGAACAATAAATTAGTTATGGGGTGTCAAAATAAATAGTCATATTTGTGTGACAAATGTGCTAGGCTGAAATCGACTAGAAATATTGTAAAACGGGAGACAATAGTGGTGGTTAATCATAATGGAATTGTAGAGTGTGGGGTAGGAAAATTGACACATCAGTTCAAGGTTATAAAAGGTGTCAGGTGAGTGGCTAGTAAAAAGTGATATCATCTCGCGAAATTTGTCTTCTTAATGCCTTGTTCAAATTTATCAAAGCGTACCGAAAACAAAGCAAAAGCCAATAATTGATCGTCCAAACTTCGTGATATATTTCAGGACCAAAACAAGCCGTCAGACGAACGCTTAGCTGGCTAGTGATCGTGCACGTGACACGACGAGGTAACAAATGGCGGGGATGCTTGACTGGAAGCCTTCAGCTAAACAAGTCGACATAAACAGTGGTGGTCAGCATCCAATGAGTGATTGCTGTGGTCAATAATTTTGGGGAATTATTTACCGCTACACCTTCATCGTACACTACAAAAGTGTCATCCATGTAACTACAATGCATTTCCATTTTCGCTATTTCCTCTTTCAACGGACTATTTTCTAGTTTTGCTAGAAATATATTCGCGAAAATAGCTCCCAGTGGGGATCCCATGGCTACTCCATCAACCTGTCTGTATATTTCATTGTTAAATAGAAACTGAACATTCGTTGTGCATTTAACAAGTAGTTGTTTCAGATTACTGATAGGAATATCAGTGCACAATTTCTCTTCTATAATCTGTTCACAGATATAATCGATTGTTTCCACTAGAGGCACATTCGTAAATAGAGATGAAACATCAAGTGATGCTATATATTTGCCAGTCGCGTTAAGGTTTTTTATCTTATCACTTAAATAAAATCAACGTATTTTCCTTAATCCTGTTCCCTTAATAAGTCGAGAATCCCTCATGGCCGTTCAAACTGAAATCGGTTTGAATTACGCTATAAATTTAGAATTAATTTAAACATCAATAATGGCACAAGCACATCTGCCGCAGCCTCTGGGTCCGTTCTAAGTGCTTCGGGGAGAATTCCGTCTGGTTATGCCGTCTTTGTGGACTTCAATAGTTTGATCGCACTTAATATTTCTGCCATCGACGGAGTATTGGTGTCCACTGGCAGACAGTTCTGTGCGTGATGTTGGTGGTATTTCTTGGCGAGTTGCAGGTGATGGTGGATTCAAGATTTTTTTAAAGTTGTTAGCCTATCGTTTTATTTTTTTTCTGATGCTTAGAATCAGGTTCCCTTGAAGATACGCTATCGGTTTCATCATCTGGGTTGATCTCTTCCCGGACAGAGACCTAGTTATCTGATATAATGCCCTGGTGTACTTTTTCCCTGCCACCTGCCTATTCTGCTTCAGTTGCCAGCTAGTGTGTCGTAGGATTCTCTTTTGTCTTTCCTAGCACTCTTCTTCACTTCTTTATTCAGTGCAGTGTACATTGAACTAAGTTTTGCCTCCTGTTATCCATGTTTGCAGTGAGTCACCTTCTCTTTCACCATCCTCCTCTTCTCAATTACCTACCAGTTATCCATTGACAGCCATTCCTTTACTTTATCTTCTGCCTTCCTAGAATAGTTGTACATGTTTCCTTGAAAATCACGTTCAGAGAATTCCAATGGTCTTTTACGAAGGTTAACTCGGTGATAACACGTAATGTCGACGACATTACTTTGATATCTGTAGCGAATGCATCACTTGTAGGTTAGTCCTTCAGTTTCCGAGTTATGAACTTGAATTGTGGCCTGTCTCTCGTTTGTTTTGAGGGATTCCATCTTCACCTTGGAGGTTCCATCAACTAGATTATGGTCTGAGCCCATATATGCTACTCTATCGCGATTTGTGTTCAGCAGACTGCTTCTCCACTTATTTAAGTAGCATTGAGATGAAGTCTATCTCGTTTGTAGTATGTCCGTCAGGCGAAATCTATGTTTCTTGTGTATATCATTGTATTTGTACACGACGTATCCGATCACTATATAACTAAAAGCAAGAAGTTTGAGAGAAATTATCCGTTCTGATTATTTTCATAACGCCAGGGCTTCTCAACCCATGACAAGTTAACTTCCTGTGCAGTGTACACATAGCTCGGTTCCCCTTCATATCGCCCATGAGAATTATGATAACACAATTAGGGATACACTTCACAAATGTCTGTAAACATCTCCATCGTTATCAAGTTCGCGATCGAACAAACATTGATATGAGGAGGGCGTCGGAAGGGGACCGAACTCGGGAACATGTACATGGTCGGCGAGAGTTATAACCGCTGTGCCACCGACGGTGCACCCACTTCTAAATCTACATTATCACAAGTGTATCATTGTGAACTGACCAAATGTGTAACATGATTTCCACGCTTCTACACATAACTAACTGCATCATCGCGTTTCATTAATCTGAAGTCATCCGGTCAGACTGAATAATCGACATGGCTTTTATCAACAATTCGCAATGCTTTTCAACCGCCATTTCCGTCTACATCTATTTTTCGTCCTCGGCTAACTCTTCTTGTCAACTCCCAGCACAATGCAACCATGATATGTTTCCGTGATTTCAAAGCAACTGTATTGAATTCCATTATGTCTTTTGTGAATGTACCATGCACTTCACCATCTTCGCCGTTTTCCCAGCGAACTATATTCTACTTATTCTTCTTCATCATGTTAGGCATTTGATCGTCATTTCCCTGTGCGTTTTAAGCTAATCACCTTGTCCTTTCTATATTCTATTGTTTATTATTAACACTGCAGACTTCATACAAACTTCATATGAAGACATCAACATCTCTTCACTTGTTTGTGTCCACTTTATTATTAAGTTAACTAAATTCACCAGTCATTTTTCAAACATAATTTCTGCCCAACTGTTTTAATCTCTGATTGTTGATTCTCTTCTTGCTTACGCCCCATATTATATAATGCATTTTTCAGCAGAAATTTACCTGTATCTCAGCATAATTCCTTCCCAAACTAGATTCATTTGAAAAAACCACAGCCTTATACAGTGTTACTTGCTGAGGACTTTCGAGGCCAGTTGGCTTTTCATAATCACTTGAGCTTCCACTTCCGCTTCCACTTTCTTAAGTTAATCATTTCTTTGCCAATTTTATAACCTAATCTCATCACGCTTCCCTTCACTTCACCTCATGTTATGTGACATTTGAATTTGCCTACTAAACCTGTAATTGTACACCCCGTTCAAACATCTATGCATTCTATGGACTATTTTATATGTGACAGTATTTGTTCTGCCAATCCATATTTAACTGTGATCATAACCACAAACATTTTGAGTGCATTCGATACTACTACTTTTATTACTTCAAGTATTCACCGAACATAACACTGAAAAACCATATATAAATATACTCATACATATAGTAGTAAGGAGTGATGATAAATTCCTAGGAAAGTTCTCATCGTAAAATATTATTTCATTAAATTTGTTAATACTGTAATATGTTGAAAGATTTGCGTGCGACATTTCACCTCATGTGTATGAATTCCTACACCCTTTATTATTGAATTTGTGTGAATCAAACCTATGTTCAACGTTTTAATTAAACTCAATAATTCATTTAGACAGTCCCACGCACGCACGCACGCACACACACAACACACACACACACACAAAACTAAATTTTCTCCCCCTTTTCTCTCTCTGTTTTTGATATTATCAATCATGAGAATGAAGTGTAAGCTCGTAAGTAGTTCAGTGGTTGCTCCCTCGCCACCCACGCACCTAGACTGTACTTCTATCCCCGTCAGACACATTCCTTAAACTTTTATAGCCAGTAGTAAACCAAGTAGGGATAGGACAGGTAGTTGGATTAACACGATTGCTACTCAAGCCACATAGTTCATGTAGGAAGCCCTATGTTCGACTGGAAATGCAAGGGATTGAAATGTAATAATGTTCATAAATCGACTCAGGGTATACCCAACAAGCAGGGGGGGATTTAAGTGCATAGAATACTAGATCGTGTCACACTTGGTCGATACTGGACATCGCATCGATATATCAATACTGCTTTCAGGGTTATATACCGAATTCCGAAACCGTTATCACGCACAATTCGCTTACGTCTCCTACACATAGCTGAAGCTGTTGCAATAAGTTCGACTAAACCGGAACTTTTTGCCCAAAAAGAACACGTCCAGACGCTGTTCCTACAGTGGCCAAACTTGGATTGATGACTCTTCTTCTCACCAAGA